TGCCCCTAGATTAGTTAAGGGCTTAAAAACTCAAAAAATGCAACTTTGTACCAAGTATACATTTGACCCTAAATGCATTTCTATGTTGAAACGAATGTGCACGCAAGTGTAATAAATGATTCTAAGCGCGGGGGAATGGTCCACGGCTCCCTAGAAGCCCCGACTCAAAATCCGACCCCCCGACGGTCAAAAATAATAAAAATGAACAAGAAATGGGAAATTTGAAAACCAAAATTAACAAATGATTTTAAATTACCGTTTGACCCTTAGCCACACTTCAAATATGATTAATGAGACCCTATGAAAGAATAAAAATGGAATTCCCACACCCGATGCAAATATGGTGAAGTAATGACTTGTCATTTTTCAATGTTTTCATAACATTTCATGAAATCAAGAATTATATAAGATGCAATATAAATGTCATTGGCCTTCGGCCTCATCTCACACAAGTCAAATACATCGTAAAAGGTGTACTTATGTATACATTACATATATGGAATCAAATATACAAGTTTAGACATATAAGGCTACAAAATAACATTTCATTCTAACAATTGCATGAAATGAAAACTTAAAAGCTACAAGTCATCCAAAGTATGATGAACATCACGAATCAAGTCTTCATACCTGAAACAAATTCCCAGTAACTTCGGGGTGAGTAACATAAAGCTACTCGTAGGAAATGAGTATGCATTGACCTAGCATTTTACAAAATTATCACCTTAAGGTGAAACAAGTCAAAGGGGCTCATGGTACCTAACATCTATGTCAAGATGAGACTCAGGGAGTATCCTAAGCTACCTTAGATCATTTCTAGCATAAATCACATCATTCATGCAATTTAAACAGCGTAGAAGCATGTTATACAAAACAACAAGATATAGATTCTCAAAGTCCTCAACTTGAAATCTAAAACACGAAAATAACTAAAGTGGATCATGCCACCTAATGTCTATGTTCTAAATGAATCTATAGGATCGTTCCTAAGCTACATTTGAACATCAAAACACAAATCACAATATCGATGCAATTTAACCAACATTGAAACTTTCAATACAACACACAAAGCATGATTTCTCTATGTTAACATCTTGAAACTCAAAATGGGAAATCAATTAAAGAACACAAGTTACGATATCATCTAGTTATCAACTTGAAATGAAATGCGAAATCAAACAAAGTGGATACTTGAACATCACGCCGAATCAGACCGACACCTTAATTACTTTAGGGTTGCTAGCCTATGGGTAACCTCCCTATGTGCGCACTAGACTGTAGAGGGACAATCCCCCGTACTAGAACCATGTTCTAGCCGTAGTCAAACAACGACATTCCCAAGTTTCCAAAATCAATAAGTTGTGCAACAACGTATATATCAACAGGAATATACAAGATAATCAATTACCTACCAAACACAACCCAAATTTGGAAACACATACAATACATGCACTAAGTCCACAACTACTATGGCATGACAAATGTCGAATCTTCAGTGTGCGATTCGTCACACGCTATAACTATATATTTCAATATTGAAAACATAAACTCATGAATCTAATACAAATCCAAAATCATGATTTAAACATATAACCAATGTTAAACACATGATTAAATCATTAACACTATAGAAACGGAAATTAATTAAATAAACTAATTAATTTCTCTAAGTTTCAAATTTCAATCAAATGACCCCTAATTAACACATGTTAAACAATATTGCATGATCATTACATACATCCATTCAAAATCTTAATTAGGTCAATGAACAACAAAGTAGAATTTAATTAAATCATGATAATTAAATCTTTAACTTCTAAAGCAACTTCAAATGGTCCCAAATTAATATATGCTAGTATACATGTCCTAGTTATCACCAATATCAAGTTAAAAACTTAATTAAACCAATGGAACCTTTAAATAGATTTTTATTAATCCTTTTAATAAAAATCTCTAAATTTTCATGCTCATCCAAATGTTCGAAAATTAAAGTATGTTAAAAAGCATGCCAAGACTTAATTTAATAGCATATCACAAGTTAATTCCATGCAAGGTATGACCAAAATAATTAAACTTTCACAAAAGAAAATTATTAAATAAAAGTTGCAATCTTTATTCAAATAATCCCAATTTAATATATGTTAACAAACATACCAAAGCCTAATTTACTAGAATACCACAATTTAATTCTAAGTTGAATATCATCATGAGAATTAAATCTTAAATATAGAAAATAATTAAATTAAATTTTAGATTATGAACAAAAGCATGCATACAAGTTGTATAAGCATCAATAGAATGCAAGACAACAAAAATAATAACCTATAACATCCCCTACCTCAATTTGATATGAAAATCTCAAAAACCATCAAAATACAACCCCTCTGAATCCGACGAAACTTCGGGATTTTGTCGGGGACAACACGGTGAACGATAAACTCCAAAGAGGACATACCAAAATCCTAACTTGACCAAAAACCCGAACTCAAAAAATGGCCAAAAACGGATTCTAATAAGGGAGAAAGATGGACGTAGTCAAGACAAACATAAAACACAAAGGCACTACGACTTTTTACACGAGGGAAGAAGGTTTAATTGAGAGAAGAAGGGTAGCAGCACCCTTTGGGCTGCCATGGGTGCTGCTAGACGTCCATGAAGAGAGGGAAAGATAACTTTTTAATTTTATAACACCCTATATATAGAAAGTGCCCCGAAAGGATCCTACCGGGTCCGGAAAAGTGGAATTTGAGCAGACAGGCTCAAATGACAAAACTCTGTGAACGAAAAAGAACTTAAATGAGAAAATATGAACAACGAAAGAAACGGCATCAAAAACTGAGTCCCGAGTAGAGAGATATGCCCCGAACAAGTTTGGCGGCAACTAAGGTTATAAATCCCTAAAACTGGGAAAAACGTCCGGGAGGAAATTCTAAGAGTACACGACTCGAAAAAATATTTAAATGAATCTCGTACGAGGATCCAGGCTCAAAACGAGATATTTTTGCAATAACTTTCGTCAATTGCACAATGGCCCCTCCAAAAAGGGTTAACTGCACTAATGACCTAGAATGAAAATATATTCCAAAAATATTTTCTTAAAAACCCCTGAAATAAAATATCTTCAAAAGATATTTATGAAAAGCACCCCAAGAAAAGAAAAAGATTCTGAAAAATTATGTATCAATGCCCATATGGACACCGAGAGCAACCAGAGTACTTTACTCCAAAAGCAAAGATACATATTTCGTGGAAACCACTTAGAATGAAGATACGTGAAGTCAAAAACCAACTCTGAACACAAAAAGTGAGGTTATGCCAACAAAGTGAGAAACAGGGAAAAAACAAAATAGGGAAAAGGACGAAACGTGAATAGTGTCAAAAAACGAAAAATGCGAAAATGACTCGGTCTTTAAAGGAAGTTGTCAATCCAAAGGAAAGAGTCTCAGAAACCATTTCCGAGTACTCGAGACAACACTAAGTGATGAGAAACCAAATACAAAATAGAAGAGACAACGAAAAATATTTATTCGTAAAATTTGAGGAAAAAAAGAAAGGAAAGAAAATGACCGGGTCATTACAGCGATTTCCGACGACAATGGTCGAAGCGACGGACAAAGACTTGTAAAAAAATGCGGTTCAGTGGTGGTTGATTTGCAGATCTTAGGACCGGATTTTTAGGTTGATGGCGGTGATGGGTGGTGATGGTTTGGGTTTGATTTTGCAAAACCCAACCTCTCCGGCAACCTCTTCCCGATTGTCTGCAACCTCCACCTCTCCCTTTGTGAAATGGGCATCAACAAGATAGGGGTATTTTTGGAAGAGTAAAAGGGTAAAATGGGCATTATATTAATTGAGGGTGTTTTTTGCACAAATTAAAAAGAATAGGGATGTTTTTTGTACACCTTTTTAAATAGGGGGTAAAATTGCTATGAAATATATACTTCAGAGGTGTTTCTTGTACTTACCCCTAAAGAGTATATAACTAATTTATATTAGAGTTTTGCTATTTCGCTCCATAATACAAAATCGATACTTCACCGACTTCACATTCCAGTGTAAAAATAGATAATTTAAAACCAAAATATAAAATAACTTTCAAAAAAAATAATAATTGAAAATTTAACAAAACAATAACTGTGATAAAAAAAACACAAAACAAATTAATAAAATAAGAATTTAGATTGTTCAATCATCGATTTTTGTTGATATTCAAAACTTCAAAGGAAATTTTTGTTCTAAATTTTATAAAAATTAATTTCTTATAGAATTCTTATAAAAACATTCCAATAAAAATAAATAAAAAGAAAAGAGAAAGTGATAGAAATTTTAGGATAATAAGGTTATGGAAAGAATCGTACTTTAGTTGGAAGGATTTTAAGATAATCATGTGTTTGAGTTGAAATTTTAAGACAACTAAATTTTTATGTGAGTAGTATCGGGATTCTATAGTCAATTAAATTATTTTCCTTTAAATTATATACAAATTATATTTTGTTAAATGCTAATTAAAGAAAGAATTAGGCAATTATAGATTTTACACCATACATGTTCCCTCTGCCAATCTCCCTTTTTTTAACTAGTAATAATTAATTTATTGTAACCCCTTGCCCTTATAGATATATATACCGACATACACTTTCCATAAGAATAAATATATATGTAATTATTTTACTTAATTCAATCAAAATAAAAAACAAACTTCTAATATAAACTATTTTGTTATTTTGAATTACTAACTCAATGTAAATCTAGTTTTCCTTTTTATTTATTACACTTCTAGAATTCAGGAGTAAACCCAGCCAAAAATTCTGCTTTCTTGAAGCCCAAGCTGACTTCAAGCCCTGCACGAACAACTGGGCTGGGCCGAAAACACCAACTATAGAAGAATATTACATAACGGAGAAAGGAATGGAAATAAAAATCTAGCCGAAGTATATACGGATGATATGAACCACATACCTAACGAGTGGATGTGGTTTTTGATCATAAGAAGATTTCATTGCACTCCCCCTCTGCAACACACACACACTCACACTCACACTCACACACTCTCTCTCTCTCTCTCTCTTCCCATGGCTTCAATCACAAACTTCTCGGCGAAACCACCCTCATCTCCCCTTTCAGTCCCTAAAATCAATCCCATTAACTCCCATTTTTCATTCCTTTCATTCTTTACCAGACGCAAACCTTTAGTAACAAAACTTGACAAAGGCCGTGACCACTTCATTGTAAAGGCCACAGCAGCATCAAAAACCAAAAAAACAGATCGTGATGAAAGAGTTCAGCAAGTTCATAGCATAGAGGAATTCGACGAGGCCCTTCGCATGGCCAAGAACAAGCTTGTCGTGGTAGAGTACGCCGCTAGCCACAGCTTCCATAGCAGTAAAATCTACCCTTTCATGGTCGACCTAAGCCGGACGTGCAGCGACGTTGAATTCTTGCTCGTGATGGGTGATGAATCCGACAAGACCAGAGAACTTTGCCGGAGAGAGAGTATCGAAAAAGTCCCCCATTTCAGCTTCTACAAAAGCATGGAAAAAATCCATGAAGAGGAAGGGATAGGCCCGGACGAGCTGGTTGGAGATGTGCTATACTACGGTGACAACCATTCTTCTGTGGTGCAGCTGCACAGTAGGGAAGACGTGGAGAGCTTGATTGAAGGTCACAAGGTTGATAATAAGTTGATTGTCCTTGATGTAGGGTTAAAGCACTGTGGACCATGCGTGAAGGTTTATCCGACGGTGATTAAGCTATCGAGGCAGATGACCGATACGGTGGTTTTTGCACGGATGAACGGAGACGAAAACGACAGCTGTATGCAGTTCTTGAAGGACATGAAGGTGGTTGAGGTGCCAACATTTCTGTTCATCAAAGAAGGTGAAATATGTGGAAGGTATGTAGGTTCTGGTAAAGGGGAGCTTATTGGGGAAATTCTCAGATACCAAGGTGTTCGTGTAACATATTAGTCAGAAAGTTATATGTTATCTCAGACATCAAAAGGAAATTGAATATTCAGGTTCAAAGATTGATGAGGGAATTGGTAATTTGATAAGGATGTATATCATTGAACCTATAAATTCTAATCATATCTTGGTAGCATTTTCTAGAATATCATTTGAGACCTTGTTTTCTTTTTTGGTCTAAAAAAGAAGAAATATTTCTTTTCACCCGTTGCACCTATAATGAATGGTTGGATACACCTGTTGTATCGCGCAACGAGCGCAAAAAAGTTTTTCTCATAAAAAAACAAAAACTTTTTAAAAAAACAAAAACTTTTTAAGGAATAATAAAAATACATATAACTTTTTTTTTTTTTTTTTTTTTTTTTTTTTTTTTCCAGAATCTAAGAACACTGAAATGAAACAGAAACAGCAAGAAGCTAAAAGCAGAAATGCCTTATCCATGCAATTGCATCAAATCCAACAAACTCCTAAGTGAAACAAATCATTTTAAAATAAGCAGAGAACAAATCATTTTAAAATAAGCAGAGAACAAATAACATATCAAAAAAAATTCAACCAAACTACCTATAATTCAGCTACAGGTCGATCCAATTCCATCAAATCCAACCAACTTCTAACACAGAACAAATAACATATCAAAAAAAATTCAACCAAAATACCTAAAACCGGTCAGGCAAAATTAGAACCAGTAAGCAAGTTCTAAGCTCTTTTTTTCTGTCAACACTTGTCAACCCCTAAACGAAATCAAAAAGTTAAAAATCTCCTTGGCACAACTTATCTCTACCATTCATCCTTTTTGGAAATACCCATGTCCCAACTGAACTGATCAACTTTTCATATTCAAAAGTTACTTACAAAAATGTATTTAAAAAAAAAAAAATCAATTAAAATTACATTCTAATCCTTATATTCGAATCCAACTGACGCATCTAAACCTTAAAACTAAAGAAAAAGTTATTGAATCCATTTGATAATTAAACCATAACAAAGCATAAAAGTGTATCCAAAATGGTATTGCATCCTAAACAAACATTTGCAATGCACCACCTAGCCTTAATTTTCATTGCTCACCTAGCAGCAAAAGACTAGTAATAACTGCAAAAGAATCTTACACAAACATTATACTAAAAGAGTAATGGTAGACCAGTCATAATCCAGTCATAATCTCTACCATCGATCTCAATCTTTGTGAATGTAAAGACGGTCAAAAAATGAATATTAAATTGAAGCAATTATTTTCCTATGTGAATTTCTACTAATTGCAAATTTCAATTGGCAATCATTAACTACTTGCACAACTCAAAACTATTGCAAAAGGCCTTTTAAGGAATACTAGAAACACATAAGAACCCTTTTTTTCCCCAAAATCGAAGAACTTCATTCAAAAGGAAATAGAAATTGCAAGAAGCTAAAGCAGAAACACCTTTTTGTAAACTAAACCAAATAAAAGATTAACTTGCTCTACAAAATTCATAAGTTCTGTCAACTATCCATTAAATTGGCGGGTAAAACAAAATGAAAGGGCAGGGACAATATACTTGTCACCGGAATATATCAAAATGCGAGCAAGGGATTAACATAACATAGAAGCTATCAAACACCAGAAGTGCCCGCCAATCATACTGAATTCTACTCGCTATCTTCCACCTGAAAAAACAGAAACATAATTTTCAACAAAATAAATTTACACCAGAGGGGGGAGGGGGGATCATAATATAACAAAAGATACTGACAAACCTCTCCACTGCCCTCCGATCCTTCATCTTCCTCATCATTGGCTTCAGACCTGGACTTGTCAGACTCCAACTCATTCTCAGAAGCATTTGTACCTCGAGCCTAATTTTATTTAAAAGGGTATACACATCAAACACCATCATAACCACCACAACTCGTAGTGAAATAAAAATAATAACACTCAACATTGCAAAACAATTAACAATTACCAATTTCTTGTTGTAGGCGTCCATGTTCTTTTCATAATCCTTCTTCCGCTGTTCTGACTTTGAAACATATGGTGCTTTCTCCTAAATTTTATTAATATCATCCCAATTAACAAATCAAATTGATTGATAGTTGGTATACTTTATAAGCATATGAAAAGGGCATATCTAATAGTAATAACAATTATAGAATTACTATATTGTTCATTACTTACAGCATCAGACATTGCCTTCCATTTGGATCCAGCAGCTTTGCCTACCTATTTTTCAAAAAATTAATAAATAAATAAGTATAAAAAAAAATAAGCTACAAGACATACAAACATAGAATATCTATATATATATATATATATATATATATATATATATATATATGAAATTACTTACAGCAGACACTAATTTGTTGTTAGGATTCTTTTCCTTGAACTGCTTTCTGAAGTCTTCCCTTTAATGGGAGAAGATGAAAATATAAATAATTAACAAAAATTTAAATAGAAATTGATAGAAATCTTTTTTCCACAAAATTAAGAAATCGCTGCAAATATATATACTGTATTAAAGAGAAAAATAAATAAAACATAGTTTGGATTTATACAAGAAAACAAAAAAAGCACTGGCAGGCCTCTTTGGTTTGTTAGGGTCCACCGCTGCCTTTCTCTTGGATGATTTGGCAGGGGCTGTATTCACAGAAAGCCTATCACAATAAACAGAAACGGGTATTAGAGGACATGTACATATACATATAGACTCACATACATGATTATATAGATACAGTGATACGAAGTATTCAGATATGCACCGCTTTGATTTTAAGGGTTTTTTTTCCTTTGATAAAAACAAAAACCAAAAAAAAAAACTAAGAGAAAGACTCATCAAAACGATTAGAAAACTTAGGCTTACTTGGTGTCTGATTTCTTTGACTCTGACTTAGATTTACGGCCTTTCATGGCGATTCCTGCAACTACAGTGTCGAATTAGTAACTGATACTGTGTGGATTGATCGAAGTGTGCGAAACTCAGCTAAAAGGACGGATGAATTCCTACCGCTTCAACGAACGTATTAGGGTTAGGGTTTGTGTGTGTGTGAGTGATATAGAGAAAGAGAGGGGATTGGGCTTTGAAAGGCGGTGACAATAATTATTTGGGAAATTGAAATTCAATTGCGGACGAAAAGAACCCCGGGTTTAGGCGGGATGTCAAATTTCGTGACATGTCAGCGATCCGTGTGCTTTCATTCAATTGTTGTTTTTGTATTTTTTTAATACAAGAGTTTCCTACCAGGTGCTAATATGGTGCAATTAGACAACAAATAATTCGTAATTACAAAATTAAAAAATAATAAATAAGGATAATAATTTTTTTTTGAAATAAATTAAATAACCTCTTATTTCTTTATTTATCATTTTCCTAATTTTATAATTCTTTATTTATCGCGGTTAGTATAAATAAGGGAAAATTCTTAATAAGTCTTACTTTTTAACTCTAATGATCAACATGTTCTACCTATTTTTCAGAAAGATAAAAAAGTCCTATTATGAAAAATATTTTCAAATAAGTTCAGATTTTGTATTTTATAATTTTATTTCCATTATTACCCTTTCTCTTTAGTGTTCTTCAACTGCCTTGTTGAAAAGCTTTCTTGAATCAAAGAGAGGGACCTGCTTTTCATGACTCTTATGTTATGTTTGGTGTGTTAGAATGGATTGCAACTTGGAATGAAATGAGAATGAAAATGGAATAGAATGAGTATTATTTGGTGTGACACAATGAATCGTTATCGAATGGAATGATTATTACCATTCTATTGTTTGGTTGACTATCATTAAATTTGGAATTGAATGATTTTTCTCAAAAATACCACTTTCATCATTTTAACTAATATTCTGACAATGAATTATAGGATGTTATAAGATGCCCAATACTGCCATTGAAAAAAAATAAAGAAAAACCTTAAAATAAAATAATATATTATTTTTAATGAGATATTAATCTTAATAAATGACTACAAAAGTTCTAGAATTGGCTTTAAAACTTGGACAGATTCAAGTTTTACAACTAAACCAATCTACCATGATTGAAGACACACAAATAAGTTTGTCAATACAATTTTATCCAAAAACAGGTTGAATACTTAACCTAAGAAGCTGATGTAAAGGCTAAAATATATATATATATATATATATATATATATATATATAATATGGTTGAAGGTCCTACAACTTTTTGTCAATGGCAGCCCTAGGTATATTCAGAAGAAAGGGAAGATGAAAGATTGCGAGTGTCGCTTGCATATGCCAAAATTGTGATGTGATTATGGCCAAGTTTGAATTTGTAAAATGTCACTACCACTACTAACTACTACTAACGTAATAAGAGTGAGTAGGGATCGTCCCAAGGGATTTGCAAGGTATTTCGGAATCAATGTTGGATTAGTAGGTTGAGTGATCAAAAGGTGGGTTTGTTGGTTGAGTTATACTATAATTTAAACAAAAGTAATGTAATGTAAAACAACTAAATAAACGAGGTATAGAGAATAAGATAGGGTTCTTAGGACATAGAGTTCACCACTAAGCCTTACCTTACTAGACATTCAATATTTGAGACATTCAATATTTAAAAGATTAGGGGGATTATATGTTGTAAAATAAGTGTGTGTCATTCATTGAAATATTAAACATAAATGGCCAAATAAGCATACATTGTCTAATCAATCTAGTGAATAGCACAGCATATCAAATTAAACCATTAATCCTCCCATAAGCCCTCAATTAATACACACACAATAATCTAGAGAAATGTACTCCTTGTACTCATAAACATAGATTATCAAATAACAAGAATGGACTGTCCACCAATCTAGAAAATTAAAGCAATTACACTATAACTATGCTAATGACATGAAAATTAAACCAATTAAGCTAAAGAGGTAGCACAATCCATCAAGAAATAAGTATAATCCATTAAATAAACCACAAGAGTAATTCATTAAGAACCATGCATTAACCAACACTACACCCATTATTTTAATACACATAGACATGCATCAAATGTAAAAAATCAAGTGTAAAGCACATGACCATTCATTCTAACATATATAAACATATGAATAGAATTAAAAGATCATTTGGAAGTATTAAACTACACAAACCATATAGAAACAAGATTTATATAAATATGAGGTCAAAATAATAATTACAACATAAATCCCCACTAATTACAAAGTATCAAAGTCTATGAGGCATGCTTAGGGCTATCTTTAGCCCCAAGAGAATAGTTTAGCCACTCATGGTTGTTGTCATCCAACCCTTAAGGGCTCTCTTCATGGTTAAATTCATCCTCCTCTTGGTGTTCTTTGTAGAAACCCTAGAAAAGTGAAAGAACCCTTCCAAAAATGTGTGTGTTCTCTCTCTAATCTCTAGCCAATTACCTTTCTAACTAACTAACCTCTTTACTAAAACTAACCAAATTCCTTATATAGGTAGCTCAAATGTCATCTCTAATGGTCAAACCTCGTGCACTAGGACCTTTAAATGATTACACCACGAGCACACCTTCAATTGGGCTTGAAATCAGTTTTGCATGCATTTTGAGGCAGTTCGATCGATCACACTGTTGCTTCGATCGATCGAAGTATGGCGGCGCAATGATTTGGATAAGGACAAAGGCTGAGATATTTATAGGAAAAGGACAAAAGTGGTTATGTGACGGCCCTGGTTTTTCAAACCAGTGCGTCTTGTGATGAACCCTAGTTTGATCCGATAATGGATCCGAAATGCAGAAGCGAAAACAAAAAACAAGACTCTAAGAAGTCAAAGTGACCTTCCATGAGGTCGTGGAACTCAATGAGAACTGATGCGGAAGCAAAAGACCAAAAATATGACAAATAAGCTCCCAGGGGCAAAATAGTCATTTATGAAAACTGTAGATTCGGGTGCCATCGAGCACACCGCTGGAAGGACAACGAAAAACTAATCAAGATGGACTCAAGAATCGCATGATTCGGAGTCCGGACGAAGGAGAAACGGCATGATGACGAAAAACAGACACTTAAAGCTTTAAGGTAAAATTGGTAATTATCCAGAAATATCTGAGTGTAACCGAACACACCGTTGGATAGACAACGAAAAATTAATCAAGTTTAAAAAAAAAAATTCACTTGAATCGGAGTCTGGACGAAGGAGAGAAGCCCAAAAGAATAATTAGCGTCGCGGCGACCCGACGAGGGGCCATGACAGACCCATGCGCACGCCCATGCGGGCGCCCATACACGCCGCGCGCGCCCATGCACGCCGCGCGCGCGATGGGTGCACCATGGCTGGCAGCAGCCCATAAAGCTGCTGTGTGGTTTTTTTCCAGAAAATTCCAGAACAGAGGCTGAATTTAGAGGCCTAGATGAACTTTTTTGCAAAACCACAAAGAAGAAAGCCCCCTCAAAATTGAGTTTTCTACGTAACACGTGAGAAAATTAAAAAAAAACTCACTGCGAAATGGCCAAAATGCCCTCCCAAGAAATCTGGTCAAAAGAGCTAAAAAGCTGCTAAAATGAAACTGGAAGCTGAAACTTCACGAGGGATTTCCGGTACCAAGACGATGTTTTTTGGAAAAACACGAAGAAAAAATCCCCCCTAAAATCACGCTTTCTAAGTGACCATGTCAAAAGAAGAAAATAAAACTGATGTGAAAGTCTATAATGCCCCTAGAACAGATTATGCAACAAAATTGAAAAATGGTTCCATAGGAAGCTCAAATCACAAAGGAAAGGGTTTTTTTTGGAAACAATCATGCACGCAGACGTAAATGGTGATTTTGAACCCGCGGGAAAGGTCCGCGGCTCCCGGAAATGGCCGAGTCAAAATCCGACCCTCCAACGACCAAAAAGGCGAAAATGAACTTGAAAATATGGAAACCAAAATTAACAAATGATTTCAAATTACCATTTGGCCCTTGGCCACACTTTAAACATGATTAATGAGACCCTACGAAAGAATAAAAATGAAATTCCCACACCCGATGCAAAAGTTATGACACAATGTCTAAGCATTTTTCAACATTTTCATATTAAGCCTTGAAAACGAAAGTGCACAGAAAGCAAAATACATGTCATTGGCTTCCGGCCTCATCTCATACATGTCAAATATATTGTAAGGAATATACTTATGTACACATTACAAAAATAGAATCAAATTTACACATTTTGACATATAAAGCTATAAATGGCATTTTAAGCTAACATTTACAAGAAATGAGAACTTTAAGTCTACAAATCATCCAAGCATGATGTGAATCCCGAATCTTGATCCCGGTACCTGAAAAATGTCCCCATTACGTGGGTGAGTAACATAAAGCTACTCGTAGGAGATGAACATGCATCGACCTAGCATTTTACAATTATATCACCTTAAGGTGAAACATGTCAAAGGGGCTTATGCCACCTAACGTCTATATCAAAATGAGACTCAGGGAGCATCCTAAGCTACTCATGCAATTTAAAGTGAACAACGGCATACAAGTATACATGCTCAAGTATACTAAACAATGTTAAACACGTCATACAACATACAAGCATACATTTCTAAGTATACTAAACCACATTAAGACAAGTCATGCAATGTCTAAGCATATTTACACAAGTATGCATTTTATATGAAAATCTCGTAAATCAAGTATACCGACACAAGTATACTAAGCTAAGAGAGATACGCCTAAGACAAGTATACACGGCACAAGCATACTAAATGAAATTTAAACTCACAAAGCAAGCATACAGGTTCAAGTACACTTTATGAGATCTAAATGCACAAAACAAGTATACAATTTCAAGTATACCACATAAGATTCAAATATCCAAAGCAAGCATTAATTCTCAAGCTATAAGTAATCCATGATTAACAACTTGAAATTAAATGCGAAATCAAATAGTGGAAAGATTAGGATCCTTGGCTACAGACCAATCGAGTTATTCCGGGTTACTAGCCCGCTAGGTACTACCTAGTGCGCACGTGTATAAGTTATTCCGGGTAATTACGACCCACAAAGTACTACCTATTGCGCACTTCATATGACTTAGGAGACTCACGAATCCGTACTAGGGCCAAACCCTAGCCATCACATGAGTATGATCTTTACAAGCCTCCAAAAACAATAAGTTCAAAACTTATGCAAAATCAATAAGTTAAACCAAACTTATACATCTCAAATAATGT